GAGAGATAATATTTCCTTTATATTTTTTCTTTCTTGTCCTTTCTCTGTCTGACCAGGAGCTGTGTGCTATACCTCGGGGGAATCTGTAATAGTACAGACTTAAGTAATCTCTTCTTAGGGAAAAAAAGAAAAGGAAAGAAAAGAAAAAAGATAGCAGCTGGACAGCAGAGGGCGTTGCAGAGCTACAGTCCTTGCCGTCAGGGGATTATCTCTGGGGCCAGAGTATTTCCCAGAGAGCCAGGGATCTTTGGAAGTCAGTTTTTGTTTAAGGCAGCCAATGTTCTGGGTTCCTATAGCACCTAACTTTCTTCCTCTCTCACTCTTTCTTTCCTTTTCTTCCCTTCTAGAAATCTGAGTGACATGAGTAGTAGCTGAGGGGAGAAAGGGTAGAGAAGGAAATCTTTGCAGCCAGACCTCTAGCTTTAAATTCCACTACATCTTTTTGAATGGATTAACCATAGCTGAATAACTCACTGCATGTCAGTTTGTTTCTTCATTTATAAGAGTGGCTGTTAATTCTGTTCTACAGAATTAGAGGTGAATTTGAATCAGTGACCTTTTATGAGGCTTAAGGTTGCACAACAATTCCATATTTCTGTATCAAAGACCTTACTCCATGTCAGGCAGAGTCTCTGACATCAGACAGTCAGAGGGACAGAGAGCAAACACAGCCTTCTAGAATTTACATTTTAGTAGGAAAGGTAGAGTGTGTGTGTGTGTGTGTGTGTGTGTGTGTGTGTGTGTGTGTATCTCTGGCTGTCCTGGATCAGGCTGGCCTTGAACTCACAGAGATCCACTGACCTCTGCCTCCAAGTGCTAGGATTAGAGGCACATACCACCCCAACTGGCTATTTAATTTTTTAATGGGTATGATGGGTGTTTTACTTGCATGTGTGCCTACTTACATTGTGTAAGTCTGGTGCCTGAGGAGGCCAGAAGGAAGAGGGCATCGGATCCCATGGAACCTGAAATAGACATTTGTGAACCATGATGTAGGTGGTGGAAATCAAACTGGAATCCACGGGAAGAGAGACCAGGCACATCTTCCTGGTGCAGTGAGGAAAGTTCCATCTGAAGGCTGGCTAATTTACTAAGCACAAATAGAGGGAAAATTTACCCAAGAAAGGAGATTAGAAAGGCAGGACAGGGCTGGAGAGATGGCTCAACAGTTAAGAACATTGGCTGCTCTTCCAGAGGACCCAGGTTCAATTTCCAGCACCCACATGGCAGCTCACTACTGTTTGTAACTCTTAAGATCTGACACTCTCACACAGACTACATGTAGGCAAAACACCAATGCACATACAATAAAAATAAATAAAAATTATTTTAAAAAAGAAAGGCAGGCCAGGTGGTGGTGGTGTACACCTTTAGTCCCAGCACTGGAGAGGCAGAGGCAGGCAGATCTCTGTGAGTTTGAGACCAGCCTGATCTACAAGAACTAGTTCCAGGACAGCTTCCAAAGCCACAGAGAAACTCTGTCTCAAAAGCCAAAACAAACAAACAAACAAACAAAAACCAAACAAACAAAAAGGCAGGACATGTTGCTTCCTGGCTGAGCTACAGTTTCACTTTGGAGGTATAAACTCTGGATTTGGTCTCTAACACTGAGGAAAGAGGGGGGTGGTAAATAATCACAAAATGCCCATCTATGTGGGAGATGACAGTGTTAGTGGAACTGTACTGCATGGGACAGATAAGGTACAGTGTTATGGGCAGTGTGTGTGAGAGAGGCAGCAGGAAGACCAGCAGGGTCCTAAGGAGCCTTTTCTCTATCCTAAGAGTGAAGAAAGGATGCACAATTACAATCACAGGCTGAGGGTTTCAAGAGATGGCTCAGTGGTTAAGAGCACTGGGTGCTTTTCCAAAGGTTCTTGGTTCAGCTGGGCGTTAGTGGTGCATGCCTTTAGTCCCAGCACTCGGGAGGCAGAGGCAGGCAGATCTCTGTGAGTTTGAGGCCAGCCTGGTCTACAGAGTGAGTTCCAGACAGGTTCTAAAGCAATACAGAGAAATTCTGTCTCAAAAAATAAAACAATAAAAGGTTCTGAGATCGTCTTCCAATACCCACATGGCAGTTCACAATCTATAATGGGATCTGATGCTGTCTTCTGGTATGCAGACATGCATGCATGCATGCAGACATACATACATACATACATGAATCTTTATAATCACAGGCTGTGAGCAAACTTCCATTTTGAAAGGGCCCCTCTGGGCTGGGAAGATGGCTCAGATGGTAAAGTTTCTAGACTGGCTGGTCAGTGAGCTTCAGGAGTCTACCCCACCCCCAGTCCAGGTATCACAGACACATGCTGCTCTGCCTGGCTTTTATACTGTGTTGGGGATACAATCTCAAGTCCTTATACTTATGAGAGACCCACATCAACCCCTGACTCTATACCATTGCAGATCTACACGCACAAACATACAAAAGCATCTGATTGCATAGGTGCATATACCAAGCACACAACATAGTAGTTCTTTAATCTTTCCCTCAAAGCTTCTTCAGATACTAAAATTGCTAAATTTTGCTAGTTGCTTCTTTCTCCTTATCCCCTGTGAACTTCAACGTCTCCCACAAGAACAATTGCAGTGGGTTCCTGTCTAGGCTTTCTACCTTCAGTCACATCTCCACACAAACTTGGTCTTATTTGGTCCTCACAACATCCTGGCCAAGTAAGCAAAGTTGCAATGCTTGCTTTGAGATCTAGTGGCGGTAGTGGGCACACTTATGGCAGCTCCTGAAATTCAATTGTTAAAATTTCTGGATATTTTTCCTTTTTTTTTTTTTGAGACAGGCTGGCCACGAACTCAGAGATCCGCCTGCCTCTGCCTCCAGAGTGCTAGGATTAAAGGCATGTGCCACCACCACTCAGCAGTTTTTGGAATTTTGTAAGACAGTTGTTAGATAAAATAACTTCTTGGACTTCTGACTAAGATCAAGTGCTGTTAAACATAGTTGCTGGGCTGGAGAGTTGGTTCAGTGGTTAAGAGTGCTGTTTGTGAGGCTGGAGAGATGGTATAGTGGTTAGGAGCACTGACTGTTCTTCCTTGAGGACTCAGGGTTAATTCTAAGCACCCACATGGCAGCTCACAACTGTCTGTAACTCCAAGATCTGACGCTCTCACACAGACTACATGTAGGAAAAACACCAATGCAAGTAAAGTATAAATAAATAATTAATTAATTTAAAAAGAGTGCTGTTTGCTCTTCCAAAGGATCTGTGTTCAATTCCTAGCACCCACATGGCAGCACACAACTATCTGTCTGTAACTCCAGTCCCAGAAGATCTGACACTCTTTTTTGGATTCTGTGGGTATCAGGCAGGCAAGTGGTACACACACAAAACATGCAAGAAAAACATCCATACACACTTAAAAAACAAATTAAAAATGTAGTTACTATTCAAAATTAAATTGTATAAACTTATAGAACTGGAGGTATAGGTAGAGTGTTTACTGGGCATGCACAAAGCTCTGGGTTCAACCCGTGTGTGTGTGTGTGTGTGTGTGTGTGTGTGTGTGTGTGTGTGTAAGTTTATATATATGTTTACACATTAAAATATGAACCCATATAGATGGATGGTGGTGATGCACATCTTTAATTCAAGAACTCAGGAGGCAGAGGCAGGAAGATTTCTGAGTTCCAGGCCAGCCTGGTCTGTAGAAGGAGGAGAGCTAAAGCTGTTAACACAGAGAAACCCCATCTCAAAAAACAAAACCAAAACCAAAACAACAAAACCCCAACAAAAACCCTAGTCACCTTGACTTAAAAAGTGATGGAGGAACTGGGTAGCAGTAGTATATGCCTTTAATTCCAGCATCCAGGAGCCAGAGACAGGGTGGATCTCTGAGTTCTAGGCAGGTCTAGTCTGCAGAGTGAGTTCCCTGACAGCCAGGGCTGTTACAGAGAAACTGTCTCAGAAACCCCCTCTCTCACAAAAAAAAAAAAAAAAAAAAAAAAAAAAAAAGATGGAAGAAAGTGGAGAGATAGCAGTTAACAGCACACTGAGGACTGGAATTCAGTTCCCAGAAAAAAAATTACAGCTCTAGGGGATCTGATGCTTTGTTTTGCGCGCGCGTGATGGAGAATGAGAGTAGCTCTGATGTATACCTCCTGTACATCTGTAGGGTTACATTAGGAAATAACACAAAAAGTTGAAGAAACCCTTCTAGTCATCGAAACCAGTTCTGATTCAGCAAAGTTGCCACCAGTATTGGCAAATTGATGAAGTTTGTCTTCGGTTTTTTGCTGTCCTTTTGCATCAATAGAGGAAAATATCAGTAAAAACATTTGTTAAATTGCACCCCTTGGTCACGTGTAACCAGTTTGGGAAGGCTGGGCATGAGGTCTGGTGGTTGAATTGATCCTTAGCATGTGCCCCATCTAGGACTCTATTCTCAACATGACACACACACTATGACAAAACCCAGTGGAAGCAACATCTGGCAGTGAGTTATTGTACACTTTTATTATTGTACACTTTTATTATTCCTTGGAAATTGTGTAGTACACATCCTTAATTTCAGTCAAATTCATGATGACAAAACTATATACACACCCTTCCTTCCCCCAAAGAATCAGTTGTTTAACGTGGAACAGCACACCGCCGGATCTAGAACACATTTTCATGTAGTCATTCCATAATTCGTCAGATGGCAGGAAAGAGGATATAGATCTAATGAAATGACTTGGCCAAGGTCATACACCCCCAAGCAGCATAGATGGGACAAGACCCACAAGCAGCGCCAGGGGCTGCATCCCTCTCCCAGGTCCAGACTCGGGTTCCGAGGCCTAACCCGCTCCACAGGGAAGGGTAGACTGGGCCTGGGCGCCCAGGAAGTGAAAAGGCAGGGGTCGGTGCCAGAGACCAAGGAGGCCACAGAACCAGCTGACGGCCAATAGCAACCAGGGCGGGGAACAACGTCAAGCTCAGTAGAGGCCGACGCAGCGTACCCTGGGGAAGGGGGCGGGACCGAACCAGGAAGTGACGTCTCGGGGGCGGTCCTCGGCGGCGGCGCGCGGCCTGGGCTCGCGCTGGGCTCCGCGCGCCCCCCGCCCCCTCTGTGAGGCAGAGGCCGCGGCGGCCGTTAGCGCTGTCGCTCCGGGGGCCGCGGCGGGCGGGGCTCCGGCGGGGCCCGGCCTAGTCCCCACCCAGCCCGGCTCCGAGCCGCCCGCCCTCCCTCCCTCACCCCGATGCAGGGGGCCGAGCTCCGGGACGGCGAGGCGGCGGCGGCCGCCGCTTCGTACCGGGTCCTGAGCCGCCTCCTCGGCTATGGAGAGGCGGCCCCCGAGCCAGGCCCGCCGCCGCCGCCCCCGGGCCATGGCCCGTCGCCGCCACCCTTCCTCGCTCGGCCCGGCCCGCGGGGCGCCCGGCCGCCGCAGCTGATGGTGTTCCGCAACGTGGGGCGGCCGCCGGAGGAAGAGGACGCGGAGGCGGCCCCGGAGCCGGGACCCTCGGAACTGCTGTGTCCCCGGCACCGCTGTGCGCTGGATCCCAAGGCCCTCCCGCCGGGCTTGGCGCTCGAGCGGACCTGGGGTCCGGTGTCTGGACTAGAGGCGCAGCTGGCTGCTTTGGGGCTCGGGCAGCCGGCGGGGCCGGGGGTCAAGACTGCCGGCGGAGGCTGCTGCCCGTGCCCGTGCCCGTGCCCCCCGCAGCCGCCGCCGCCGCAGCCCCCGCCGCCTGCTGCCGCCCCGCAGGCCGGGGAGGACCCCACGGAGACGAGCGACGCGCTGCTGGTCCTAGAAGGCTTGGAATCGGAGGCCGAGAGCCTGGAGACTAACAGCTGTTCAGAAGAGGAGCTCAGCAGCCCGGGCCGTGGAGGAGGAGGGGGTGGCCGGCTTCTGTTGCAGCCCCCGGGCCCCGAACTACCCCCGGTGCCCTTCCCGCTGCAGGACTTGGTCCCTCCAGGGCGCCTGAGCCGAGGGGAGCATCAGCATCAGCATCAGCAACCTCCCCCACCGCCACCGCCTCCCGGGCCCCTCCGGCCCCTCGCGGGCCCTTCTCGAAAGGGCTCCTTCAAAATCCGTCTCAGTCGTCTGTTTCGCACGAAGAGCTGCAACGGCGGCTCGGGCGGTGGGGATGGGACCGGCAAGAGGCCTTCTGGAGATCTGGCAGCTTCAGCTGCGAGCCTGACGGACATGGGAGGCTCTTCGGGCCGGGAGCTGGATGCGGGGAGGTGAGAATGGCTGGGGGGTGGTGGTGGCAGGCGACAAACTTCAGTTTCTTGTTTCGCTTCCCCTACTGCTAACACAATACTGTCAGTTCGCAAGCTGTGGACTTCTGGAGAAGGCAGACACTTGGGACTAAAGGTGGTGACATCTCCCATTAGATCAGAGCTAATTGTGGAAACAGCTTTTACTCTTGGAGAGTTCACGCTCGGTGACACTTCTTAGTGGGTTAGCGTCCCTTGCTGGGAATGATCTGAAGCCCTGCCTCACCATCCCTGTACTGGCCCCACTTTTTAAGCCCCCCCCCATCTGTCTATCATTACTAACACTGCTGCTGGGAGGTTGTTGGAAGTGTGTGCCTTGGGGCCGAAAAGCTAGTGCCAATCACCTGCCTATTATTATCTTGACCATCTTGCTTATTCTCTCTATGCACCTGCCCCCACTCTCTCCATATATATGCATGCAAAATGGCCTTGGGAATTTGGCCAGCAATCAGCTGGACATCTCTATTCTTAATATTCTCCTGGTAGTTCTTAGATATTTGCTAAGTTGTGTGTGTGCTGACCACATTCCGAGAATAGCTTTATGCTTGCACTCTGGCTTTCACAGATGTGGAGAATTCTCAGTGAGTTATACACATTGAATTCTAGGCCACTTAATGACAATTCCAAACTTAAACGTTGAGTTTTTTCCCCCTGAATTTCTAAAAAGTGGATGGACTTTTGACATAAGGGCATAGTTGTGTTGTACCTTGTGGAATAACTGATTGTGAATTGTAATTCTGACTCTCTTAGACTTGAATTGGTGGTTTTTGTTTTGTTTTGAGATGAGGTTTTATGCTGATGAAGCATGCTTTGAACCCACTATGTGGCCCAGACTGGTCTAGATCTCTTGAGTACTGAGTCAGCCTCCCCCATGCCAGGGTTACAGGCCTGTTGCCACCATGCCTGGCGGTGATTAGTCAAGGTGTGGTTTATATGATATATTCTTGAAACATACTGACAGAGACAAACCAAAGCCAAAAAGCTGATAAATTGATAACTTTGCTGAACACTAGAATCTCTTGGGGGGTGGGGATTGAAAAATAAGTGTATCTCGAGCCCAATATTTTTTTTTTGTAATTTACTTTTATTTTATGTTCATTGGTGTTTTGCCTGCATGTTTGTCTGTATGAAGGTGTCTGATCCCCTGAAATTATGCAGACAGTTGTGATCTGCCATCTGAGTCCTGGGAATTGAACCCGAGTCTTTGGAAGAGCAGCCAGTGCTCTTAACTGCTGAGCCATCTCTCTAGCCCCTACTATTTGAATTTTTTTAGTGCTCCCCCCCCTTGATCCTGGATGCAAATCACTTGTTCTTGGATGTGGATTTCTGAAGGGAATTTGAATACTCCAAGATAAAAGGCGTTGTTCCATTGGGCTGTGTTGCCATTTCTAAATAGATGCCATGATCAGTCCAAATCCCAGGTTGTTTTCCCCAGTGGGTTGTCCCTTTACTTAGAGCCCACTTTTTTTTTTTTTTTTTTTTTTTTTGTGAACTCTTGCTGAGAACTCAGATCTTGAAAAGTGGCTGCTGAAACAGTTGTCCTGGGTCGTCGTAATCCCCCTCCCCGATAGGTTCTATATTTGATGCTCCACTTACCAATATGGATGGAATTTGCATCAGCTGAGGGTGGACGGCAGGATTGAAGCTGTGGGTAATGACATAGGATGGATTGGTAATTTTCTTGTGGTTTGTCTTGCCTTTGTTCCCCATTGACCAGGACTTAGTGTAAGATTCCCGAGACATCTAGTATGAGGTGTGCCGTGAAATTAGCTGTTAAGTCTAATAGATTAGGAAGTAGAAAAGGCATATAACGTACAGTTTTTTGCCTTTGGAAGCAGAATTTAATGGTCATTGGCTGCTCCATCACCAACCCTCACACTAAGCACAATACAGATTTCTGCTGCAGAGCAAATTAGGCTATACCTTTGCAAAGCAGCTTAGTTCAGGGCACTGGAGAAAGACATTTTTTGGTTCAAGAGCTTTTACTGATGAATTGGAGAAGAGCTAGGTATTTGTGTGTAAACATTTGGTTGACTGCTATTTGGAGGCAGCATGTTGTATAGAGAATTTGGAACTTCAGCATTAGCTGTGAGATGGAGGGCAGTTTGTCATTTCATCCTCCCCTTTTCTGTCTGAAATGAGACAGCTGTGAATGTCTTGTTCATGTCCTTATAGGAATAGAAGGAAGATGAGAAAACTGGATGGAATATTTTGTGCTTTTTGGAAGAGAAGTGATAAGATTGAGTTGGTATACTTTTTTCCTGTGCTAAGTGTTAGTGCTGCTTGCTAGCTTTTCCATGCTTATTATGTGCCAGTCGTGCTGGCAGCCTGGAGCTGTGAGAACCTTGCTAAGTCTGGCCAGGGTAGTTGTGATTTCTGTGGGTCTGCGTCTCCTAAGCAAGCCCTCCCTTGTTGGAAGAACAGTAGCTCAGAGTTTTCACTTGTTCTCTTATTTTAAATGGTAGTACCTGAAGCACTGAGAAATTTCTGTCCTTTGCCAGAGTTAGGAGGCTTCCACATCATTGTCAGTTGAAGTTAATTATGGCCTCTGCTGTCTTTGCTATGTAATTTGGGGCACTTATGGTACCCTTTAGGCATAATTCTCTTTCCCCTTCTCAACATCTACCTTTGCCATCTACACGTTTCCCACAGCTATTGCTAAGGCTTAGCAGTTTTCATGTTCTGTTAGTGAACAACTTGACTTCCATTCATATACTTTGGATTTGCTTAAGTGGACCTGACAAGATATTCTGACTCTTAAGAGTAGAGTAATATAAGGGGAACTGGAGAGATGTTGGCTTAGAAGTTGAGAGCACTTGCTAATCTTGCAAAAGACTGGAGTTTGGTTCCCATGCACCCAGATTGGGTAGCTCCTGAGCACCCGTAACTCCAGCTGCAGGGGATCCAGTGTCCTCTTTTGATCTCAGCAGGCACATGCACACATGCTTGCATGTACACACACACACACACACACACACACACACACACACACACACACACAGCCTTTAAAAGTAAAAGAGGAAGCCAGGTGGTGGTGGCGCACATCTTTAATCCCAGCACTCGGGAGGCAGAGGCAATCGGATCTCTCTGAGTTTGAGGCCATCCTGGTCTATAGAGTGAGTTCCATGACAGCTTCCAAAACCACAGAGAAACCCTGTCTGGAAAAAACAAAAAAACCAAAAACCAACCAAACAAACAAACAAAAAAGTAAAAGAGGAGTATGAGGGCTAGAAAGAAAGCCCCGCAGGCTTGCTCCCAAGCCTGATGACTTGATTTTGAGCCAATCTTTGGGAACCCACACAGTTGAAGGAGAGAACTGACTCTCAAGCTGTCCTCTGACTTCCACATACGTGCTGTGGCACATACGCGTCCAGTTCCAACCTCTTAAAAATAAATAAATGTAGCTAGACATGGTGGCACACACCTTTAATCCCATCACCCAGGAGGTGGATCTATGAGTTTGAGGGCAGCCTGGTCTACATAACAGTCACAAGCCAGCCAGAGCTACATAGGAAGAGCCTGTCTCAGATTTTCTTTTTTTCTTCAATTAAATAAAATAATAATAAATACTATGGATTAGCTTTGAGAATTCTTTAAAATGAAGTAAGATTGAGGCTGCCAACTAATCAGGTTTCTGTTCTGAGGAGCTGGGCTAGGCCTTATACCACACATATGTCAGAATTCAGAGAGCTGGGCTTCATGCCTATGGGCCTTGGTATAATATAGAACTTTGCTATTTCAAGAAAACCAGCGGAGTTCCCTTGTCTGTTTTACATATGTTGAGCTGATTTGTCTTTCTTCAGACTTGGTGAAAAATAACATCTATCTATCTGCCCTGTTTGAATATCACATAGTAACATATTAGTTGGGAATAGGTACCTTGTTCTCAAGATTGTTTAGTGAGGTTAACAGTTGAGGCTGCTCCTGGCAGTCTTTATGGTTGTGTAGTGGAGAATGGAGAGCAGTTCTGTAGTGATTTTTGATTTGTCTGGAGAAAAAGGTGCAACTCTGGGTGGAGAGGTTTCTTTGGCATGCGTTTGGGGCCCTGCTGTCCTGGGCAGACTTGGCCAACATCAGAAACTGTTTCTTTGCATCTTGAGATCTAGGGGAAGGGGTGTATTTTGCTGCTGCTGTTTTCTTTAGTACTACTTTTGGTTTTATTAAACAAAAAAATTTTAATGTGTATGTTTGTATGTGCCTGATGAGGTCAGAAGAGGACATTGGATCCCATATATCTGGTGTTATGGACAGTTGTGAGCTGCCCAGGTTGGGTGCTGGGAACCAAACCTCTTCCAGATCTTCCAGAAGTATAGCAAGTAACAGTTGATCCACCCCTCCCCTGCCCTGTTTTTGATATAGTCTCACAATGCAGTCTGGACTGATCTTGAACTCACCATGTAGTCCAAACTGGCTTCCAGTTTGAGGTGATTTTCCTGCCTCAGCTTTCTTAGTTCTGGGATTAAAGATGTGTACCTGGTTTTGTACAGCCTAGGATGGCTTCAAACTTATTATGTATATGCTCAAGGCTGGTCTTGACCTGATCCTCCTGCTTCCATCTCCCTTGTGCTGGAATCACAGCCACGTGTTACCATAACAGCCAAGTTCAAAGGGGCCTTTTTAAGTCCTAACATGAGATGCTGAGAGCAAGGTGCTTGTGTGGTATGGTGTGCTATACATTGGGTTTTTGTTTCATGCTCTGTTGGCCTTTTAAACTTTTTATAAACTGATGTGATTGCCAGCTCTGTCGGAATAAGCTTATGGCTCTAAAATTATTGTCTGTCCACTTAAGTCTTGTGCCTTTTATATTATTGCCATCATCATTCCTGAGGTTTTAGGCATTAGACTATACCCGTTGGTTTATCCCTAGAAATTCCCTCCATTGGTTTTTTTAGTTGGTTTACGATAGAGTTTTGGATCTGACCTTGCTGCACAGATGTCTGTGTATTGGAACTAAAAATGAACACATGGTTTTTGTGCCTGTAGCACATGAACAGACACACTGGCTTATGATGTGTTGGAAATGGCACAGGCTGCCTATCTTGGCACTGAGTGCATTAGCAGGGGCAGAGGTGTATTGGAGCTACACAATCTAGTATTTGGGCATCCTAGTTTGGAAGGTGCTTTAGGAAAGGATACTTGTAAGTTTTAGGGATGAAGGGATTTATGGACAGGAGTGGTAGACATGATTCATTGTTTGATTTTTTAGGTTCCTAGGAATTTGAAAATTGGCCAATGATTACATTTTTGTGCTATTGTCCTGTTTAGTCTAGCGCTTCTAATTCCTTTTATCTCATTAATCTGTTGTAGTGCAGATGATAATTTGCAGAATGGAAATGGATGGAGATGTTCTCTTACTGCAACTCATGCAGTGACATACCTGATTCAAAGGACAGCAAATCCCCACAAAAGACTTTTGCCTAAAGCTGTCACTTGAGTCATGACCTACCAAATCATTCTCCAATGTGTCTGTTCTAAGATGCAAGTGGCTCTCTGGCAAAGTTAAAAGTACTTTAATTTTGTGCCTCAATATTTATCAAGGTGATGGGAAAGCACGAATAACCCATGGAGGGTTAATTTGAAATGTTTATTTGTGCTGGGGATGTAGCTCAGTTGGTGGAGTGCTTGTCTAGTTTGTTCAGAGCCCTGGATTGGATTCCCAGCACTGCAAAATGTGTTTATTTGGAGGCCTGGGATGTGTGTAGCTTAGCTGGTAGAGTACTTGCCCTTAATGAATGAAGCCTTGAGTTCAGTCCCCAGCACTACATAAACTGGCCATGTTGCACCTCATAAACAGTGTATGGCGGTACATGCTTGTAACCCTAGCATTGAGGAGATAGAGGCAGAAGGGTCAGAAGTTCAGGGTCATCCTCATCTGCATATCAGATTCAGGACCAACATGAGAACCCTGTCTCAAAAAGAAAAATTCATTTAGTATTATTCTTGTTGCTTTCCAGAAACGATCTTATCGTCTTAGAAATGGGCTTTTATCATCCCAGATATTTACTATATATAAAGGGAGCTATAGAAAATATATGTACTAAAGAATAAATACATATCCAGCCACTCATTAGACTTAGAAAATGGGTATAGTATTAGCCATACTTTATCTGGACTCAAGTGTTGCTGTCCTCATTATGTTTTATCTCTCGTGTTCCGCGCCCCCCAGTTTAACTGCCATCCTCAGTTTTGTGTTAAATTCTTTCTTTGCTTTGTTGTTTTAGTCATCTAGATTGGCCTTTTCATTAGACTGCCATCAGAATGCTCACAGGGTCCTAGAGATAGAAAATGGGTTTTTAGTTAGGCAGCATCTTCCCAAAGTGAGAAGAAAGCACACATATTTATTATTAGCCTTTCAGCCTCTTAGACCTTTTAGCTTCAAGCCACAAAGCATCCTTCTTTGCCAGGAAAAACCAACTAGTTCTCTCAGATGGCTCTGCCTGGGTTTAAATTCAGATGTTTTTCTTTTTCTAGATCCTAGAGAAACTATGCTTTTTCTTTTTCAAAATGTCGGGGTGGGGGAGAAGATGAGCTGAAGTGAGAAGGCCTCCGCAAGACGTGTGCATTTGGGTACTGCTGTTCTTGAGAGCTTGGCACTAAAGAGACTCGTCCCCAGCATGGGCAGATGGCAGAGGGATGCAGCTTCCTTTAGAAAGAGGCAAACTGCCAAATGGCTGAGGTGTGAACCTTTTGAAAGGCCAGTGCTTTGGGTTTCTACTTCCTGGGTTTAATGTTATACCCACAAGTTATTAAATAAAAGTCAGTTTGGACTTGCTCAGCTGCTTCAGGTTCATGTCCAGTGGAATGAACTTTCCATTCTAGTCCTTTGGGTTGTTGGCACTAAGCTGTAGTCACGAGCAACTTTTATAAACAGAAGCCATGTGTGGTTCTATCTTGTTTTTATGTGGCCATGTCCCCTGTGTGGGCAATGAATGTGTTCAAGTGTGGATTGTTAGATCTCTTAGAAGGAAGCTGCCTGTGTTTCATCTTTTTCTTTCTTTGAGGCAGGACCTATATATCCTTGGATGGCCCTGACTTACTATAGAGTAGGCTAGCTTGAACTCATAGAGGCCTGCCTGTGCTGGGAAGGGTGTGCTAAAGGTGTATGTGGGTGTGTGGGTTTTGTTGGATTGTTTTTTTTTTTTTTTTTTTTAAGCTATGGTCTTGTTATGTAGTCTAAACTAACCTTTGTGACAGTTTGCTTCTGCTTCCCAAGTGCTGGACTGTTAAGTATGCAGCACCACATCCAGTCCTCAGCTCTTTCTGACTAAAGTCTTCATGGTCTGGTTTTGAAATTCTGTTTGAGTTTTGAGAAGCCCAGACATCTATATTAAAACATGAAAGCAGAGCCAGGTGATAGTAGCACATGCTTTTAATCCCAGGCAGAGGCAGGCAGATCTCTGTGAGTTTGAGGCCAACCTGGTCTACAGAACAAGTTCCAAGGCAGCCAGGGCTACACAGAAAAACCTTGTCTGGAAAAACCACAAAATAAACAAAAAACTTGAAAGCAGGAGTGGGAGAGCTGGCTCAGCAATTAAGAGCACATGCTACTCTTGCAGAGGACCTGAGTTCTTTTCCCAGCTTCCATGTCCAGCAGATCACAACCACTTGTAACTTTAGCTGCAGGAGACCTGACATCTGTGGCCTTCCATGGCATCTGTACTTACATGTACAAACACACAGGCACACATATACATAATTAAAATGAAATACAAATCTAAAAAGTTGCAACAAAATTGCAAAGCTGGTCACACTGGATTGCACCTGTGGACCCAGCACTTAAGATGTAGAGGCAGAGGAGTTATAAATTCAAGCTCATCCTCACCTACTTAGTGAGTCAGAGTCTAGCCTGGGCTACATGAGATTGTGTTTCAAGCAAAACAAAACAAAAAAATGAAGCATAAACATGTTTTTCTTTTTGTTTTGAGGCTGGAGAGATGGCTCAAGGGTTAAGAGCATTTACTGTTCTTCCAAAGCACCAACCTCAGTTCCCAGCATCCAGAGTAGCTTATAGGAACCTAAAACTCCAGTTCCAGGGTCCTCTTCTGGCCTCAAAGGTCACCCATATACGTGTGGCACACATGCATATACATAAAAACAAATACACATTTTTTTTAAATGCATTTGTTTGGGGGATGGTGCTGTGGTTGAATTTGGGGCATTGTGCATGATAAACAGGTGCTTTAGCAACTAGATTATACCTTGAGCCCTGAAAACAAGTATACTTTTGTTTTCTTTTTCTTTTTTGGCTGTCCTGGAACTCCCTTTGTAGACCAGACTGGCCTCAAATTCACAGAGATCTGCCTGCCTCTACCTCCCAAGTACTGTAATTCAAGGAAGGTACCACCACCACCCTTGAAAACAAATAATTTTAAATAGGTTTTCATTTTAATTTTTTCTGTAATAAAGGGTTTACTTCATGTTTCAGGACATGTGGAATGCAGAGTTTCAGTGATAAGCACCTGTGTGTTCACTTTTCCGCTTTATTCTCTGTGTGCTCTTACACACAGAGTTAAAGAGTTTACTTTATATTTAACCCTTTGTGTCACAGCGTGTCTAGGAGGTGAGCCAGCAATGATACCTGCAGTCAGGCATTGTGAAGCTATAAAAATAATGTCTAGTGTCAAGTCAGTTCTGGGATGAGGTTTTAGACTTTATCACAACTCACCACTCACTCTTCATAAGCATATAGCCTGTTTGTATCACCTCAATAAAAACTCTTTGTCATCTTGAGATGAATGAAAAAACTGTTTTAAGGTTAACACATTGTGGCTGGAAAAATCTGTGCTGGCATCTCTGGTTCCTCATTGTTTGCTCAAAAGCTACTTGGAGTAGGTATAGTTGTTGCCTTGTGTAATTGCAGGTGGTTTCTGGAGAGCATCAAGGCAGAGCTGTGTGACCGGAGGGGAGGGTGTATTTGGGTGTAGGCAGAGCCCCTACCCTAAGAAGGCCTGTTAGCCATGGCCCTGGCTCATATCTAAGTGCCATGGGCAGAGAGGTATTCATGGTTGAAGGTGGCAGTGTATCCTTTCATGTTCTCAGGCCAGGGTATGCTCCCTGGCTCCCTGACTCCATTTGGAACCTTCATCTCTTAGAGTCAGGCCCAGAGGGAGCACTATTGCTCCAAGCTGGCAGCTGCTCAGGCCTAAAGCCTTTTGCTTGGCTTACACATGAAAATCAGCTCTATGTCCAACTTACTTCCTTATGAAATAGATTTCGTAATTACAACTCAGGTGTAATTCTTAATGTGCTGGGCATGGATGGATCTAAAGGAATTGGTATTGCTTTGTAGGCTGGTAAATTCAGTAGCCGAATCTATTTAAGGAATTGCCTTAATTTATTTCATTCTCCTTTAAATTTTAGGCTTTATTACAGAAGTGTTGCCAACATATCTGTAATAAAGGGTTTGCTTTGTGTTTCAGGGCATCTGGAATTCAGTGTTCTAGTGATTTCAGTGCATATGTGTTCATTTTTCCCCTTTATTCTCTGTGTGCTTTCTTACTCCCTAGGAAACCCAGGTTGACAAGAACTCAAAGTGCCTTTTCTCCGGTCTCCTTCAGCCCCTTGTTCACAGGTAAGAATCACATCTTTCTCTTGTTCTGATAACTGAAAGTGGGAGTGTCCTGGAGCTCTCGGGGAACCACACTTGCAGATGCATCGCTAGGGGAGCTCCAGGCACCTTTTAGGCTGTCTGCAATAATTTCCTTCATTTCATACCCCTGGGTTTGGGGTGAGGCTTTTTTTTTTTTTTTTTTTTTTTTTTTTTTTTTTTTATGATTTCAGATGCTTAGTACTTGGAAATAAGGACTGTTTCTTGGTAATTGGGTAGCCCTTACAGTTACACAGTTCTGAGTCATTACATATAAATTAAAGGCAAGAATTGCAAAGATAGAGGCTTTCAATGCAAAAAAGACTTTCTTGAAGTCATTATTCCTGTCCCAGCTTCCAAAGAAGTTCATAGATTATCTAATAGGAATGACCCAAGAGCATCTGGTCTAATTTAAAGAGTAGGGCAAAGAGGATTGTGTGAGCTTTTGTCTTACCATTTTAGGGGTTAGCAGTTCTTGCAGCTGTCAGGGTTCTTCATTGTGTCTAATTTAAGTGTGTCCTCTTGCAGCAGGGAACACAGTTGCTAAAGTGAAGAGACTGTTGGATGTCCTCTTGGTAGTGGGTCATTGCCATGTCATCTCATATTATGGAGAACTTTTCAGAGAGAGACCTTCTGTTCTGTCAGTCATATGTAAAGCTCCTGGTTGAGTAGAAGCTGTAAAAAGGTCTTTTTCATATTCTCTCAAGTCCGAGAAGCCAGCTGCCTTGCTTGTTTGTAACTGAGAAGCTCTTTTTAAAAACTAGTCTTTTGGTTGGAACCTACCTACTGCTGTGATTCCACCACATGGGAGGCAGAGGAAGGATTACCAAGTTCAAGGCTAGTGTGGTCTGTGTAGTGATATCAGACTAGTCAGGGTTCAAAGTAAGACCCTACCTTAAAAAACTTAATTAGATTTAAAATCCCCCCCCCCATCTGTCTCCCTCCTTCTCTCTTTCTCTTTTTCCTTTGTTTTTTTCAAGACAGGGTTTCTCTGTGTAGCCCTGGCTGTCCTGGAGCTCACTCTGTAGACCAGGCTGGCTTCCAACTGCCTCTACCTCCTGAGTGTTGGGATTAAAGCTGTGTAGATATTTACTTCTAAAATGTTTATTTTATATGTATGATTTTGTCTCTATGTATGTATGTGTACCATCTACGAGTCTGTTGTTTGTGGAGGCTGTATGAGGGCATCAGAAACCTTGGGACTTGAGTTACAGACAGATGTGAACTGCTATTCAAATGCTGACAATCAAATCTTGGTACTCTGGAAGAGCAGCCAGTGCTTTTAACCTCCAAGCCATCTCTCCAGCCCTGGGATGATAGGATTTAGAAAGAAAAAATTTAAGTTTTATTATTTTATCCTTTTTTATTTACATTGCATTTCTTGATTGTGTGCCTTATCATGGATGTAGAATCAGTTCTTGCCTGGGCGGTGGTGACGCACACCTTTAGTGCCAGCACTCAGGAAACAGGCAGGCGGACCTCTGTGAGCTTGACAGCCTGGACTACACAGAAAGGCCCTGTGTCTGGTTGGAAAAAGAGTCAGTTTCTCTTCTTCCACCATGCAGAGCTTGGGGGCTGAATTCAGATGATCAGGATTGTTAGCAAGTCCCTTTCCCTACTGGGCCATTTTACCATCCCTGTTTTTCTTATTTTATGTATATGAGTTGTTTTGTCTACATGTATGTCTGTACTGTGTATGGGCTTGGTGCCTGTGGAGGCCAGAAGAGGGGCTGAACCCCCTAGTGCTGGAGTTAAGATGGTTGAGTCATCATGTGAGCATGGAGAAGCAAGCCTGTGTCTGTTGGAGAGCAGCCAGCTTCTTAACCTCAAAGCCGGCACACTAACTTGAGAACATCTGGATTCTCAGCCAATTGGTGTTAAGGGTTATTCCAGCCTGGAGAGTACCAGATTCTCACCTTTGGGACCCTAGTCCTCACCCCTCTGACTCCAGCCTCCCTTGCTACTTGCCCTTTGTCTCACTTCCTTTTGCCCTCAGCTTTGGGCACGGTGCTTCTGTAACATGCTTGCTATATGAATCCTTCAGGTGAGACAGTGTCGCTTGTGGATGTGGACATTTCTCAGCGGGGCCTGACCTCTCCACACCCTCCAACTCCCCCTCCTCCTCCAAGAAGAAGCCTCAGCCTTCTAGGTATAGTTTCTGACCTGACCTTTTGCCATCTTGCCCTAGCGGGAGGGTGAGTTCTAGGGACCTGTTCTTTTGTCAGGAGCCAGATAAGTTTCTGGGTTTCTATTGATGACCCAATTGTGTCCCATCCCTTTCTCCACACCTCTGTCATACCTGTAGGCACATAAATGCGTGGGCATTCTTATCTGCATGCAGCAGTATTTACCATCCACGTGGTGACTAGCTTCACATTTACCTTGCCCTCAGTCTGTTGCTGTGAGCTGTCTTAGGAGTACCCTCATTCTCCTGCTTTCTGAGCAGAGCAATCTGCTTAGGAGAACTTGCCCTCAGTGCATAAAGATGACAAGTGAAGGCCAGGCTACCTTGCCCCAGAGGGCAGCCTGATATCCTCTCCTCCTCTGCCTTCGCCTTGCTATTGATGCTCATTTTGCTGAACCTCTTGCTTTTGTTCTCTCTTCTAGATGATATCAGTGGGACGCTGCCTACATCTGTCCTTGTGGCTCCGATGGGGTCTTCCTTGCAGTCTTTCCCCCTACCTCCGCCTCCTCCGCCCCACGCCCCAGGTTAGCTTAGCTTAGAGGCAAGACTTGTGAGAGTGGAAGGATGGGAGAAGTCTGTTTATGGAAATTACAACTTAGAATGAAGCCTCTATCTTTATCCCCTTAGCTGGACTAGAACTTGAAAACAAGTCCAAAAAAATATTTTTTCCTAACCTGTTTCTTTATGGAAGTAAATATTCTTTTTATTAGAAGTAAAAGACTGGGATTTTGGTCCCTGCTTCTGGGGCTGTTTTGCAGTCTCTGAGTAGATGTCACTTAAGAAACTGCATTAATGTCAGTTCATTGAAGAGATTGAATATGTTGCTGGTTATCAGAGTTCTGTGTTTCGTGTTTTTTTTTTTTTTTTCCCCCCTAAACTTTTTGGTATTTACTGCAGCCTTGTAAATAAGTACCAAGCATTTAGTAGCCCATACCTGCTTTGCCAGCCTCCGGTACCCAAGGAATAAAATGAATGAAATCAGCATTCTTTTCTACTTGCCTGGCAAAATCGTTACTCTCCCTGGGCAAGTAAGCAAGTCACTATTTCCAAGGCTGCTTTACCGGCACTTCACTTCGAGGTGGGAGAAGTTGGAATCGCTCTAGGCTGGTGAAGCCCCTGAAGTAGTCACCTTAGTCAGGTTAGTGAGCGGCTCCCCTACTGCTTTCCTGGGGTTGAATGCCCCACCCATCCTTCACAGCTTACACGAGCCCACACAGCTTTTTGTTCCAGCCCATCCAGCTCTTTCCCACTGCTTTGGCTCCCACCCTCTCCAGCTTAGCTTCTAATGCCTTGTCCCTCTTCAGTTAGCATCTCTTTTTTTCTTTCTTTTTTTTTTTTTTTTTTTTTTCTTTTTTGTGGGGAGGGGACGTCTGCCTCTGGGTGGGAGGAATATAGATAAAACAACTGTTCTCCATTCTCTTGCCCTGCAGATGCATTTCCCCGGATTGCTCCCATCAGAGCATCAGAGTCCCTGCACAGCCAGCCCCCTCAGCACCTCCAGTGTCCCCTCTACCGGCCTGACTCCAGCAGCTTTGCAGCCAGCCTTCGAGAACTGGAGAAGGTAGGTGATGTGATGCCTGAGGTCTGGCAACTCATTTTTCCTCCCACATCTTGAGGTCTATGCCTGGGCTGTCCTTCCTGCTTTTAAAGGAAGAGAAATTTCTGTAGCTTCTGTAGCCACAGCGGCTAGACTACTAGGCCCTTGTTCACTCCACAAGAAAGGTAAAAAGCCTGAATTTGGAGAGAACAAAGTTAGACATCATGGAGGAGGGCCGTGAAGAAATATTTGGAATAGTCTAAGATGGTTTTGCAAGGTAAACCTACCATTTCTTTCTTGTCCTTATAGGACCATTGGTAATGAAATGTAGAATTAGTCTTATGGTGGTAGGGAGGATGAAAAGTGGAAGGAGCCTAGTTTTCACTGCTATGGTTTGCACAGTGTTAATGGCTTTTACCTTCCCATTTTTTGGACAGTGAGGGAAATTTCTCGTCATAAGAGGAGTGTCATTTCTCTGGTAACTGCTTTGCTGTTTCCTATTTTTATAGTGTGGTTGGTATTGGGGCCCTATGAATTGGGAGGATGCAGAGATGAAACTGAAAGGGAAGCCAGATGGTTCTTTCCTGGTACGAGACAGCTCTGATCCTCGTTACATCCTGAGCCTCAGCTTTCGATCACAGGGTATCACCCATCACACTAGAATGGAGCACTATAGAGGTAAGAGGTGCTGCTACCAGGAGAAAGCCTTCCTCCAGCTTTTCCTTTTCCTACCTTTGCTGAGTTAGTCCCCTGACCTCCTTTTTAAGTTTTATTTCATTATTTTTGTTTTAAGTGTATGGGCCTGAGTGTATTGTATATGCACCACCTAAAAGAGGGTAGGTATTAGGTCTCCTGGAGCTGGAATTATCCGCAGTTATGAGTGCTAGGCAGCAAACCTGCAAAAGTTGTAAGTGCTGTTAACCTCTAAGTCAGCTCTCCAGCCCGTCCGTCCATCTGGTGTGTGTGTGTGTGTGTGTGTGAGAGAGAGAGAGAGAGAGAGAGAGAGAGAGAGAGAGAGAGAGAGAGAGAGAGAGAGAGAGGAGAGCACTACAGGGTACCTGTGAAGTTAGAGGACACCTTGAATGTCTTGCATGTTAGTAGTCTGTATCTTCCACCTTAAGACAGGCTTTCTTGTTCATTAGTGCAGCCTACACCAGCATACATCAGTGTAGTTGGCCTGAGGTTCTGGAAACTTTCTTTTCCTTGCCTAGGAGTGCTGAAAACATGGACATGTGACATCACATGTGCTTTACATGGGCTTTGCAGATCAAAACTCAGGTCCTCATGCTTACATGGCAAGTACTTTAACCACCAAGCACCTCCCTAGTCCTTTTTTTTTTTGTTTATTTTGTTTTTCAAGACAAGGTTCTCTTCTCTGTGTAGTCCTGGCTGTCCTGGACTTTGTCCTATAGGCCAGGCTGACCTCATACTCAAAGAGGTCCACCTGCCTCTGCCTCCCCGGTGTTGGAATTAAAGGTATATATCACTATGATCAGCCCAAGATTTAATTCTTTATGTAAAAATAGTAGCCTGATGGTGGTGGTGGTGCATACCTTTAAGGCAGATGCAGATATGTCTCTTTGCTAGGGCTACACAGAGTGGCCCTGTTTCCAAAACAAAGCAGACATATCCATCTTAGCATGAGAAGTTGTTTTTATCTTTAATAAATAGTAAAATGTCTTCTAAATATTCTTTTAAAAATAAAACTAGGCTGGGCAGTGGTTGTGCATGCCTTTAATCCCAGCATGTGGGAGGCAGAGACAGGCAGATGTCTGAGTTTGAGGCCAGCTTGGTCTGCAGAGTGAGTTCTAGGACAGCCTGGACTGTTACACAGAAAAACCTTGTCTTGAAAAAAACCAATAAATAAATAAAGTGAAAAATCTTTGTGATTTTCAGAAAATGTTTTATCTTCATACCTGTTTTAAATACCTAGATACCTAGATTGCATGTAAAATTTCTTAGGTGGGTAAAAGATCATTCATATGTAGAAAAAGTTTAAGAAGCCATGAATTGCCGGTAGGACATCTTTAACCCCAGCACTTGGGAGGCAGAGGCAGGCGGATCTCTGTGAGTTCAAGGCCAGCCTGGTCTACAGGTGAGTTCTAAGCCAGCTAAGGCTACACAGAGAAACCCTGCCTTGAACACTTTTCCCCCCTCCAAAAAAAAAAAAAAAAGAAGAAGCCATAAATTAGGTTAGGAGAGGAAGACTCAGTGGTAAAGAATGCTTGCTGCTCTTCGAGAGGACCAGAGTTCAGTTCCCAGGATCCATGCCAGGTGGCCCACAACTGTTTATAACTCCAGTTCTAGGGAATCTGATGCCTTCTTTTGGCCTTCTTGGGTACCCATACATACATGGAACATATACACACAGAAATAAATCCTAAAAAAACGAAAGAAGCCATGGAATAGGTAAGTATTGAAAGTGGGATTTGGTAAGAATCCATCACTGCCTATTTTTCTGCTGTTGTAAAAAAGCAGAATGACAGGTAACCCTAATATGAAATAAAGGATTTTAGAATGAGGTGTTTTGTTGAAACTGGCAAGACTGATAATAGACTAGACTATGGGAATGGTAGGTTAATTCTTGGCCTGGTTCATAGTAGGTGAGGAACTGAGAGCTCTCCTACGTGCTGCTCCAGTGCCTTTTTGGTTAAAGGTCTTTTCTTCTTACAAAAATGGGAGTTTTAGAAAGCAGCTTTGTTTCTGGTGCCTGTTGGCAATGGGACATGCCTTCATCATTTTAGGTGATGCCATAAGAGTGACTTGAGGAACTCCAGTCTGCAGTTCCCTGGAGTGATTAGTTAACATGAATTGTGTTCTTTTTGTGGGTGATTCTTTTAGATCCTTGTATTAAGCCATAGGAGCTCAGATTCTCTTTTCCCTTTGGGACTCTGGAGTTGAAGGAAGTAGGGACTTGTCAGTGGTCTAGGCATGGGATTTCGAAGCTCAAAAAGGAAAAACTGATTTGACATTTTTTTGTTCTGCTATGCAAGAATGAATACTTGAAGAGGGAATAGTGTACATACTTGAAGGCTCAGATCTGAGGTCACTTAACACCATTACTGTGTTCTCACATCTCACATCCTTTATAGTATATAAATGTCTTCATTATATGATAAATGTACTTAGCATTTGTAAATATAAATATGGGAAGTATGTCATTTAAGGAGTAGTATACATATAGAAAAGAAAATCTTATTTAGTATTTCTGAATTTAATTATTTTGTTATTTTTAATTTGTAGTTTTGTATGTTCATTTGTATGCCACCACATGTGTATGGTAGACAGAAGAACCGGAGGGAATCAATTCTTTCCTCCTACTATGTTGGTTCTAGGGTGAGAACTTAGATTGTTATCTTTGGTGGCAGTTCTACTCACTGAGCCATCTTGCTGGCCCTCTATTTTATCTTACTCTAAGATTTTTAAAATTTGCTTTGGTGTTGTGCTTGCATGTGTACCTGTGTGGGGTGTCAGATGTTGGAGTTACAGACAGGTGGGAGCTGCCATGTGGGAGCCGGGAATTGAACCCAAGTCCTCTGCAAGAACAGTCAGTGCTCTTAACCACTGGCCATTTTTCCAGCCCCTTACGATTTTTGTTTGTTTGTTTTGTTTTGAGACAGTTTCCCTATGTAGCTCTCGCTGTCCTGGCACTTACTATGTAGACCAGGCTGATCTTGAACTCACAGAGATTCTCCTGCCTCTGCCTCTGCCTCTGCCTCTGCCTCCTGAGTGTTGGGATTCAATGTGTGTCCCACCATATCCACCAAAGTGAATTTTTAAAAATTATTTTTTAATGATTTAAGAATTTAATTATTAGGCTGGGGGTGGTGGTAGCATCCCAGCACTTGGGAGGCATAGGCAGGCAGATGTCTGTGAGTTTGAGGCCAGCGTGGTCTACAAAGCTACACAGAGAAACCCTGTTTCAAAGAACCAGGAAAAAAAAATGTTCAAACCAACCTCTCAGATCATTTGAGGTTTTTGTATGTTTGTTTATTTTTTGTTTTTTAAGTTTTAGAGTATTGCTGTATAGCCTAGTCTTGCTACTACCTGAGACATGTGAGTGCTTCGATGAGGAGAATGTGGTACCACACTCACCAGAAAAGCTTGTAAATTGACTCTTTAATCTTCCATTTCAGGAACTTTCAGCTTATGGTGCCACCCCAAGTTTGAGGATCGCTGTCAGTCTGTGGTAGAGTTCATCAAGAGAGCCATCATGCACTCTAAGAATGGGAAATTTCTCTATTTCTTGAGATCCAGGGTTCCAGGTAAGGCTGTAGTTACAGTAATTATTATTGTTGCTTTTTTGAGACAGGGCCTTGCTGTGTATTTCAGGCTGGTCTTGAACTTTCTGTGGAGCCCAAGCTGATCTTAAACATATGGTCCTCTTGCCTCTTCCTCCTGCTAGTTATATTAATTATTAAGCCTATCTTGGATATGACAGTATCCTACCAGAATGCCCCAGCCCCCCAAACAAAAGCCACACCTGAAACTTTTTGACCTGGCTATTGTAGCAACCCCTTTTCCTGCAGAGTTCAGTGACTGACTCCAGCCCTTTACATTAATCTTATAATGCTCTGAAGAATGACTTTTGCTTCTCTGACCACGTGAATAAGAACACTGCTCCTATCTCTGAAATCCAGGCATCTTATACCATTTGACATCAAGATGGCTCCTTGCTGTTGTTACAGGTGTCTGGACTCTTACTTGTGAAACAGAAAGTGACAAAAACTCCCATGTCAAGTCCCCAGGAACAGGGATGTGAGAGTTGGGCTCACGGGAAAGGCAGGATGCCGGGCTCAGTTGTTGCTATGGATTTGTCCATACTGTACTAATTGACAAGAGGAGTGGGGTTGTTGTTGCTTTGTTTTTGGTTGGTATATTGACATCCTTCTGTTGTTAAAGATAAAGACTTCTCTCCATTTGAGAGCACTGGCTTCACTGGTGTGGTCATATAGTCAACCAGCCCATTCAAGAAAGCACCTGCCTAGTCTCTATCAGAGGAGGTGAAGGAATGGTTTAGAGGAAATTGGTTTTTAGCATTGGGTAAAGAAAACCAACAAGCACATTAGCGTGAAGAATTTGTAGGACACAAACAGAACTTAAAGTAAGAGCTTCGTGCTTTCACTTGGAATCATATTAGCTTCCTAAGTAGGGTGCCAAGAAATTGCTCTAAAATGTAGGAGTTGATGGGGAGCCTTGGGTAGAACATCAGGAACAGGATTGGGCCAGGTGACAGTGATGTTTGTATAATGTTGGTGATTTAAATAAGGCACGACAGGGTGTGAACTGTATTAATTCTCACTTCACTTGGTATTTGCTGCCATGCTGCCAACACCATCGGGGCTCATGCATTTGTGTTAGTTGAAGGAAAATGCTAGAATTCTTCAGGATTGACTCTGCTTAGCATTTTTTAACATTTGTGGATATGATAGATATTTATTTAACAAACATTTATTTGTATCTCGGTATAAAAAGTAAGCCAATCGATGCCCTCAGACAGCTTAGTCTGTCTGTAAGGAAGGGATGGCAAAAAGACAAAGGTAGAACCCCAAACATAGAAGTGATTTTCAGGGACAGAGTAATGAACTCTGCTTGTTGTAAAATAGGCAGTCTCAGCAATATGTCTTACTACTCTGGTGCAATTCTGCTTGCAGACTATTGAGGGACTTGGTGGACTCTAAGGCTCCACCATTACAGCTCTTTTTATTCCACAAATGTGCTTTATTTTCAGCTGAGATTTCTGACATTGTACATGGGCTAGAGTTTGTAGTGCTTGCTACTGTTTAGAGTGCCTGTTACATACAAATAGCAGGTCAAATTTCTGGTTTAAGTCTTTTAATTCTTTAACTACCTCAAAGATAGCTAATAAGTTAGTCTATTAAAGATAGTGGGACTGGGCAATTTAACTCAGTTGGTAGAATGCTTGTCTAGCATGCATGAAGCCCCAGATTCAGTCTCCAGCACAACACAAGCTAAGTGTAGTGAGCATACTTGCAATCCTAGCACTCAGGATGTGACCGGAACCCAGAGTCTTGGGCAAGCTGGGCAAACTCTGTGGTGGAATCACATGCTCAGCTATCTGTCTGTCTCTCTCTCTCTCTCTCTCTCTCTCTCTCTCTCTCTCTCTCTCTCTCTCTCTCTCTCTCTCTCTCTCTCTCTCTCTCTCTCTCTGTGTGTGTGTGTGTGTGTATTTGCTTTGGGAGGTGTCTCATGTATGCCAGGCTGGCTTCAAGCACACTATTTCTCTGAAATGAACTTCTGATCTCAGCACTTAATATGTAGTCCAGAATAGTCCTGAACTTGTGACAATGCCCCAGCACAGCTTCCTAAGTACTGGAATTATAGCTGAAAGCCACCATACACTTCTGAGGCAAGCTTTTAAGTATAAGTTCAGCACCATAAAATGAGACCCTGCCTTAAAAATATTTTTAAATAAAATACTGTTCTGTCTGGAATTTACCTATTGTAACCCCATGGTTACAATATGGCTCTGAATTTCCTGTAAAATCATTATTGGATCCAAAAGCTTGATTGGTCCCGTTTGGACGTTTGTTGGAGGAGAGGTAACCATACCACTTTTTTTAGGTATAAGGTGAACACCATACAGGCAGAACTAGATAGAGCACTGTCAGCTACTCCACAGCTTTTCCTATGACTCCACCTGACTTCCTTCTTTATTGTTCATTAAGACTTCCTTTTGTCACCTGCCCCCATGTCATATTGCCTTTACTGCCCCAAACTGACCATGTAGCTGAGGCAGACTCCTGATTCTCCTGCCTCCACTTCCCCAGCATCATAAGTGTATGCTTTTCATTTTTCTATTGCCAGTACTTGGATCATTGAAGTGCTCATCCCTGTACACAAGTTTAGTATTTGCAGCTATCCTAGAACTCAATAGACCGGGCTAGTCTCTTGAACTCACAGAGATCCACTCTGCACCATCCTGCCCCCGATGCTGGGAAAAAAGGCATGCACCACCATTCCCAGCTTTATATTTTTTCTTTCTTTTTTGTTTGTTTTTGTTTTGTTTTTTTCAAGGCAGGGTTTCTTGGTGTAACCCTGGCTATCCTGGAACTCACTCTATAGAGTAGGCTGGCCTCAAACTCACAGAGATCTGCCTGCCTCTACCTCCCAAGTGTTGGGACTAAATAAAGGCATGTGCCACTACCACATGGCTCAGTTTAAGTTTTAAGTGTTTTTGGTTTGTTTTATTAATTTTTTTCTTTAGATTTGTTTATTTATTTTATGTGTGTGTTTACCTGAATGGCTATTCTTGCCTCAATTAACATAATCAAGATTACCCTACACAGGCATGCTCAGGGCTCATTTCCTGTTATAAATCTGTTAAAATGACAATGCTCACTATGCTCTGCTCATGGCCATGTTATAATGTATAATATAATACAATAGAATTCTTGAATTCAAGCACCTTTACCCACTCAGCCACCCTGCTGACCCATCAGCAATTTTTTTTCAAGTCCAAAGTCTTTTTTTTTTAAAGATGTATTTATTATGTATACAATGTTTTGCCTGCATGTATTCCTGCATGCCAGAAAAGGTCACCAGATTTCATTATAAATGGTTGTGGGCCACAATGTTGTTGCTGGGAATTGAACTTAATGACTCTAGAAGAGCAGCCAGTGCTCTTATCCTCCGAGCCATCTCTCCAACCCTCAAGTCCAAAGTCTTGTTTTTTCTTTTTTTTTTTGAGACAGGGTTTCTCTGTACTGAGCCTGTCCTGAAACTGGCTCTGTAGACAAGGCTGTCCTCAAACCCTCCCAAGTGCTAAGATTAAAGGTGTGTGCTACCAATGCCCAGCTAAGTCCAAAGTCTTAGCTGGAAGGTCCTATAGAATCAAACAAGCTACATATTTCAGCTGTCAAGGGCTCTAGGGGCCAATGGGCTTAAATGAACCTGTGTCTTCACAAGATGGGCCTCCAAGAGGGGAAATTTTCCCTCAGGATACCTTTCCTGTTGTGTTAGTCCAGATAGGAGATATCTCTGCAATGGGGCTGATTTCTTTAACAATTGCAGTTGCTTTCTCAGCACTATTCTGAATGCTCCCTTGTTTTGAAATGGCCTATGCCAAACAAATTAGTCCATTAGCTTCAACTTTTCTCAGGTTCTCAGGACATAAACAGAATAAAAGCACATTCTTGGCTAAAACAGTACATTAATGGCCTCTAGCCCAGTTCCTGATAGAATCCTTGCTTCTCTCTGAAAACCTCCTGAGTGGGCCCCCACTGTCCAAGTTTCCTCAGTATTCTTGCCTTCCAAATTCCCATGAGAATGGTCAGTTCAGCTCTGCTTCTAGCACTCAAGAGCTTTTTAAATTCATTGTTCCAAACTCTTCTATAGCCTAGCTACAAAACAGTTTCAGTAGCCTAAGGACCATATATAACCAGGTTTATCAGCAATGACCCCACTCCTGGTACCAATTTCTGACTTAGTTTCTTTTCCTGTTGCTATGATAAAATATTCTGAAGCAATCTAAGGGAAGCCAGAGATAGGACTTAGTGGTTAAAATCACTTGCTGCTTTGGCAGAGAACCTGGGTTCCATTCCCAGCAGCCACATGGCAGTTAATAACTGTTTCTAATTCCAGTCCCGAGGGATCCAGCTTTCCCTCCTCAGGCCAGGCATGCAAGTAGTGCACTTATGTGTAGGCAGAACATACATAAAATAAAAATGAATAAGTCTTTTAAAAAAGAGTGCATATTGCTCTGGCAGAGGACCTACATTTGGTTCCGAACACTCATATCAGGTGTCTCACAACTGCCTGTACCTCCAGCTCAGGGGGATCCAATACCCTTTTATGGGTTTCGTGGGTGTGTATACACTTGTGCACATAAACTTGGGCAAGCACATGTAAATGCACATGATAAAAGTGAGTTCTAGAACCTGTCTTATAAAAATGATATAAAATAAAAAAGCAACTTAAGGGAAGAAAGGTTTATTTTTCTTTGAAACATTTATTATTTTTATCATATGTGTTTCTTAGTTAGGTTCTTACTGCTGTGATGAAACACCATGATCAAAAGTTACAGAGCAAGTTCCAGAACAGGGTCCAATGGTACACAGAGAAACCCTGTCTTGAAAAACAAACAAAAAAAGGCAACTTTGGGAGTGTCTTAGTTAGGGTTCCTATTGCTGTGAGGATACTATGACCACAGAGGTTTCATCTGTTACCATCATGGTGGGACATGGCAGTGTGCAGGCAGACATGGTGCTGGAGAGGTAGCTGAGAGAGTCCTTTATCTTCCCAG